AAAAACAAACAAAAAATAACATCTGATTTACCTTTTGCTTCCCCTGAATATGCATACAAAATTGGTGAGATTTGATCTTGTCTTTTCAATGATTTTTAATTGAAATCCATGTCCTAGATTCCAGAATGCCACTTAAGATACAGAGAAACTCTGTCTACCATTATTGCTCCATTTCTACAAAAATTGTAGTGGATAAATTTATAAATTTGATTTTATGTAAATTAGTTACAGTCATTGACAAGCTCATGAATTTGACAGGAATGACACTTTGTTGTTACTGTTGTTGTCTGGACTTGGCAGGTTCATGTTAGCTGTGTGGTTTTTGGTATCAGGAATGGAACCCAGAGGTGCTTAGCCACTGAGCCACATCCCTGGCCTCTTTTAGATTCTTCCTTTTGAGTCAGGGTCTTGCTACATCACCTTGGGCCTTCGACCCCTGAACCGCTGGGGTTATAGGTGTGCACTATCACACCCATCTTCATTGGAAGTTTTAAGGACAATTTTGGCAATACCTAAAATACCCAACTGTAGTCATTTAATCACTGAATACCTTATCAGTGAAATAATAAATGACACCTGTTTTCTGAAAAGGAGAGGTATATATGTCTAAGTAAGGGTGCTAATCCTCTCACAAGCACTCCCACCATGTCACCTGATTGCTGTTCCCTCCTAATTACCTCCTCCTCCTCCTCCTCCCATATGGGAGCTGCCTTTTAGTTTATGAAAATTGGGAGTAACATAAATGCTCTCTCTACTCTCTCTGTCCTGTACAGTATTTTCACTGGTCTTAGATACAGTGTACTATTTTCATTTTTGATATAGTTCTTCCTAAGTCCACCCCAAAAAACACAATAATCCATGCCTTTTATTTCACATAATTTACTGAAATGCTCTTTGTTTTTTCAGAGTGTAGATCATGGGAAAGTTCAGTCTCCTTTGTAAGAAAGTGTGTTGTTTTTTCATTGATTTTGTTGCCTCTCATTGTGTATCTTTTGTATTGTAATTTTTTTATCACTCATTACATATATTTTCAGGTTTTTTTTTTTTTCTTTTTTAGTATCTGTGTGTACATGGACTGTTGGGGATTGAATCGAAGGCTATCAAGTTCTTACTACTGAGCTACTCTCCACCCCAAGAAAATTAGTATTGTAGACTGTTGTTTACTTATTTGCTTATGTATTGAGTGCTGGGATTGAAGCCAGGGACTTGTTCATGTGTATGTTGTCCTCCAAAAATGAATTTCAATGTGTGAGCAGCATTTTGGAGGTGGGCAGGTGTTTTACTGGGGAATAAACCTAGAGGCACTTGACCACTGAGCACATCTTCAGTCCTTTCTATTTATTTTGTACCTATTTATTTTTATTTTTATTTTGTATAGTTGCAGATGGGCAGAATACCTTATTTTGTTAATTTTTCTGTGGTGCTAAGCATCATATCCAGTGCCTCATACATGGTAGAAGTGCTCTGCCACTCACCTACAATACCAGTGCCCCCATTTATAGTTGATGAAGGCCAAGAATCACAAAATTTCTGGATGTCTGTGAGAGCCCCCAACGTGCCGTTTCCCTGCCTTGACCTCCCTAGTGGCTGAAATTACAGGTGCACACCACCACACCAGCAGTTGGAAGGACTTTTGAAGACTTATCATCCAATTTCTTTCCAAATGGAAAATCAGTTTCCTTGCTTTTCTCCAAAGTGTTGAAATTTATAACTATGACTCTTCTTCTTTGCTTTATTTTTTACATTATTATTTGTGAAAGGTATTCATTATGTAATATTGTTTCTTATGTTTATATTTGTTAAGGTTTATCGATTTCATTCATTTCCTTATTCATTCCACATCCTTATTAAGTCAATTTGGTTTTTCAGAGCAATTTTTGGCTTACATAGTTTGTTAGTCAGTGTTCTCTAGAGGAACAGCATCAAGACGAAGTGTGATTATAAAAGGGGACTTATTAGATTGCCTACTTGACCAGAAGCTGGATGTCCACAGTGGCTATCTGCAGGGTGGAGAGCTTGAGAAGTAGTAGCTGCAGAGTCCAAGAGGATGAAGCCTCAGAACAAGAGGGATCAATGGTGCTGCCCTAGTCCAGACCAAAGGTTCTGAAATTTCCCTGGAGAATCGCTGGCAGAGTCCACTTTGGGAGAGTGAAGAAGGCAGACTCTGATATTCTCAGGCCATTGCAGCAGCCATTGGAGAAGAAAGGGGCTTTCTCTGCTGCTGCTTCCTCCTTCTTCCAACTTTTGTTCCACCCAAGACACTGACCCATTGGATGGTGCTGCCTATACCTAAGGAGGTTCTCTAGTTTGGTTCTCTGTTCCACACGCCAATCACTTGTAGACACACCCTCATGGACACACCCAGAGGCCTCTTAATCACAGGTGTCTCTTAATCCAATGGGGTTGACAATTCAAATGAGCCATTACACATATTATCAAACACCCTTTCTCCACACTGTTCTCAACATTTTGCATTGATGTTGGATGCTTGTTAGTTATGAATCAGTGTCATACATTTTATTAAGAGAGTGGATGAAGCAACACCTTATCATCAGCTGAAATCCATCCTTTATCTTGGGGTTCCTTCTCTGTGTGGTGTGTTTTGTGTGTCACATACTCTACATATTAATGTCATACAGAAGTGTTTCAGTGCATCAATAATGTTGTCTTTTCCAGAATGTTCTTGACTTGGAATCTTACTGCACTTGGCCATTTCAAACTGGATTCTCTCACTCAGCAGTCTGTCTTTAAGGGTTCTGTGTCTTTCGAGGCTGCAGACCTCATTTTCTGGGTGATGTTCTTTGGCTGGTTATACTGCAGCTTGTCTATTCAGCATTGAAAGGGGCATCTTCCTTGCTTCTAGCTTTGGGCAGTTCTGGATATGGCTGCTGTAGTCACTGCTGAGAAGTTTTCTGTGCACTTGATTTTCACCTCATTTGCAGAGACACCTGGGAGTGTGGTGAATTAATTGTAGAGTGCACCATGTTTATTTTGTAAGAGCGTGACTGTCTTCCAGAGAGAGTGTTCTTCTCTCCATTCACATGAGCAAGGGAAGGGTGCTTTCTGATTCATGTTTTCACTGTCTTTTGGAGCTTTTGGTGTTTGGCATTTCACCACTCCAGTTGAGTATCTGGTGGCACCTCATTGTTTGTTTTGAAGTTTCCTAATTATATGCAGGTGAACATCTTCTCACACATGTGTTAACTGTGCCTATTTATTGAATGAGTGTCTTTCCAAATCTTTTTCCCACTTCCAAGTTGGTTGCTTTTTTTTTTTACTGAGTATTCTTCATGTATGTTGAATACCAATGCAGTGTCATTGTTATGACAACATTTTATGCATGTGTTGTGACAACATTTTGACCAGTTCTCCAGCATGTCTTCTCATTCTCTCAAGTGCATCTTTTGAAAAATGCAAACATTATTTTGATCAAGTTCTATTTACAAGTTTTTACTCACAGATCATGTGTTTGATGTTGCGTATGAAGCTGTCATGCCAGCCCAGATTTCTCTGTAAGTACTTCTTTGTTATTTTAGTGAAGTTTGGAGTTTTGCATTAGGTACTACAATGTATAGGCAATTTTTTGGTGCTGACAAGTGAACCCTGGGCCTCCTAAGTGCCAGGCAGGTGCTTTGCTAGAGCTGCAGCCCCAGCTGTGTGTCCTACCTTGAGACTGATTCTCCACTGGGACCTCTGTGCATTTGTGAAATGAGAATGTTTTCTTTCTCTATATGTTAATAATGTCTAGTGCTTTGGCAACATTGTCCAAGAGAGTATATTTTCCATTGATTTTCATTTGCTCCTTTGTCAAAGATCAGTAGAATATTTTTATCCTGTGTCAAATACCACTGTGTCTTGATGATTGTAAATTTCTAGTAGCTGTTAACCTCCGGTAGTGTTCATCCTGTGAATTGAGTGTTCATTACTATGTTGGTTGTTCTTGTTCTTTTGTTACTAAAATATAACTTAAAAGATTTTTTATTTGGATTATATAAAATTATATATTTTATCTTCATTGTCTGATGTCCTATCTTCCCAGTAGTCTATTCTGTTCATGATGCTTTCATTTGAGCTTTGATTTTGGTTTATTATTTCATTCATTTCACGGATTTCTGTTTGTTTGTTTGTTTGTTTTAGAAC